CGCGATTGTCCGCGGTTTTCAAACCGACAGAAACGGACAACACGGTCCTTTGCCCCGAGGGCAGCACCGAGCGCGATTCCGCCCGGTATTTCCTGCCAGGGTTGCGGAAGGCACGGCCACGCGCTTCACGAATGCTGGAGAACGCCAGACGCAGCAGGGGGCATCGCTCCCTCGAGCCCCGCACGCGATAATTCTGGCGCTGTTGGGAACACTACAGCAGTGCCTGGTCAAGAAGCAAGCCCCAAACGCGCTTCAGTGATCAAAATCGAAGTCGAAGGACGCAGTGTATGGGCCCTCGTTGATTCCGGAGCCGATGCGTCAATGATTGGACAAGAATTCGCCCGAGCGGCTGTACAGAAAGGAGCGTCCCACAAAGGAAATTTTGGAACAATAACGCAGGCAAACGGGCAGAAAATACAGGTCAACACACAAGCAGAAGTGTCGTTCTCGATACAAACCTCGCAGTTCATCCAGCCTATGTTGGTCATTCCAGGCTTGATCTACCAGGTCGTTCTCGGCCGAGACTTCTGCTGCCAGCACAAAACAGTGCTAGATGACAGGGCAGGGGTTTTCAGAGTGGGGAACGTCGAGATTCCTTTACCAACATATTCTGAGTTACGACCGCTACGAGCAAGGGTGGTCACTTGTGCCTCAGTCACCATCCCCGCTAGGTCTCAGACCCTCGTTCAGGCCGAGGTCGAGATCCCAGATGGAGGCGTTAAAATCACTAAAGAAGCCACTTGGGAGGGTGTTCTAGAACCTCACTCAGTTGAGAGCAGCCAAGAGTGGAGGGTCCCTCGTTTAGTTACAGAAGTGACGAGCGAGGCAACCGTGCCGATTCAGGTCGCCAACATCGGGGGCAAAGCAGTAACGATCCCTCCAGGCACAGAAATCGGTACACTGTACTCTATTCAAGAAAATGGCAAGGGTATGTACGACGTCCCGAGCTCTTCAGCGGCTTCAGCTGAACTCAGTGCAGGGACGCTCGATGATCTCTTAAGCGAACTCAAACTCGAGTCTACTGCCCTTTCAGAGAGTGGCAAGACCTCGCTAACACAACTTGTGTCACGATACCAGGATATCTTCAGCACGGGAGAGTCCGACATTGGAAAAACAAAGCTTCTACAACATCACATCGAAACTGGAGGCGCGGCTCCGATCCGACAAAGGCCACGACAGATCCCAATGAAACTAAGAGAAGAGGTGGAAAGACAAAAGGAAAAGATGTTGAAAGAGGGAATAATCGAGGAGAGTTCCAGCCCTTGGTGCTCACCCATCGTTCTGGCCAAGAAAAAAGACGGCAGTTTCAGATTCTGCGTCGATCTTCGAGCAGTGAACTCTGTCACCCAAAGTCTGCCAGTCCCTCTCCCGAGGGTGGATGACAGCCTCGACAGCCTCGCGGGGGCAAGCTTGTTCTCCACCCTCGACATGGCCTCGGGCTACTGGCAGGTTGATGTCGCTGAAAAAGACCGAGAGAAAACCGCTTTCAGCACGGGAAAAGGCTTGCACCACTTCCGGTCCATGCCTTTCGGCCTCAAGAACGCTGGAGCCACGTTCCAACGACTGATGGAACTAGTGCTGGCTGGAATGGACTCAAAAAGCTGCCTGGTGTACATAGACGACATTATTGTCTTCGGAAAGGATCAAGACGATCATCTCAAGAATCTGGAGGAGGTCTTCCAAAGGATCAGGACAGCAGGGATGAAACTTAAGCCAAGGAAGTGCTGTCTAGCCCGCGACGAGGTAGTATTCCTCGGACACAAGGTGGGGAAGAGCGGTGTGGAGCCAGACCCAGCAAACATAGAGAAGGTGCGTCACTGGCCTCGACCACAGAAAGCCGAAGAGCTGAAGAGTTTTCTAGGGCTCGCAGGATACTACTCGCGATTCGTGCCCAACTATTCTGACCTCGTGCGACCCATCAGAGAAGCTGCTGAGAAAAAGGGTACTGTAGAATGGACTGAAGAGCTGGTGGAAAGCTTTGAAAGCACTAAAACGAAGCTGACGTCGGCGCCAATCCTCACCCTGCCAACCTGCAAGGGCGAGTTCAAGGTTGCAACCGACGCCTCCAATACTGCAGTCGGAGCGGTGTTGACGGAGACCACCAACGGCGATGAGAGGGTGATCGCCTACGCCAGCAAGGTGCTCAACAAGAGTGAACGTCGATGGCCGACGTACGACAAAGAGCTGTGGGCCATCGTGTGGGCTGTCAGACATTTCCGGCAATACCTCGCGGCCACCAAGTTCACTGTCCTGACAGACCACAAACCACTCAAAAACGTCCCAAAATCTATCAATGTCGACGGCGATGCCACCGGTCGGAGAGGTCGGTGGGCCATTGAGCTCAGTACTTACGATTTTGTCGTTGAGTACCGCAAGGGCAACGACAATGGTAATGCTGACGCTCTGTCGAGGCCCGTCCTTGACGTCACTGACTCCACAGCTGAAACGGAGACCAAAGAGCTGCTGGCCGCCGACCACAAGGGCGGTCGAGAAGACATCCCCCTCGAAAAGCTACAATTGGAGCAAGAGCTCGACCCCTTACTGGGTGAGGTCAGAAACTGGCTGGAAGCAAAGAAGCTCCCTTCTAAAAAAGAACTGCAGAAGAAGAACAGCTCACTACGTAGCATGGCTCGATTTTTCGACCAGCTCACGATGGAAAACGGGATTTTGAAGCTAAGGCGACATGGCAACAGCTCAGTCATTGTCCTTCCAAAAATCTATCATCAGACAGTCCTGAACATGCTACACGACGATGAGGCTGCTGGTCATCTGGGAACCGACAGAACTCTCGAGAGAGCAGCAACCAGGTTTTTCTGGCTGGGGATGAGCGGGGACATCGCCCGCTACTGCGAAACTTGCGAGACCTGTCAACGACGCAGTCGCCCAGCACCACAGATGCAAGCAACTCTCCGAACCGAATCCTATTCGCGGCCATTTGAAAGAGTGGCTATCGATATCACCGAGATGCCGATGTCGGCTCGCGGTAATAGGTACGCTTTAGTAGCAATGGACTACTTTACCAAATACGTCTTTGCCTACCCCATGCAGAACCAGACAGCTGAAACTGTATCTGACTGTCTTCTGGACATGGTATTGCGGCAAGGGGTGCCAGAACGCCTTCACAGCGATCAAGGTCGCCAGTTTGAGTCTGCGGTCTTCCAGTCCCTGTGCAAACGACTAGGAATCGAAAAAAACTCGGACATCACCCTATCGGCCTGAGAGCGATGGCATGGTGGAGCGCTTTAACCGCACGCTCAAGGACATGTGCTCGAAATTTATCAAACCTTGCGGATCTGATTGGGACGAACATTTGGCTTTCCTCACCTTCGCATACAACACGTCCAAACACTCGGTGACCGGATTTACCCCATTTTTCCTGGTGCATGGGTATGAGGCACGCCTGCCAGTCGATGAGCTTTTCAACCAGAGGCGCGAGGTGTCGATGGTCGACACGCATGTCGAAAACAGGCTGCGCCAACTCAGAGACGCATACACCAAGGTTCACGAAAACATCAACAAAGCCTCCAACGACATGACAAAAACACAAAACGAGTCGGCGCGAGAGGTTGAATATGTGCCAGGTCAAAAAGTGTGGGTGAGGGACCATACGGCTCACGTCGGAGGTAAACGTAAGCTGGCCCTTCATTACAAAGGCCCTGCGACCATTCTAAGAAGGCACGGTCCGGAAGGAGACGGAGTCACCTACAAGGTCAGCATGCCCGGTGGTAAGGAGACCAACGTTCATCACAATCATCTGAAACCTATGAAACTTCGGAGGAAAGATGATCCAGCCGAACGGCCAGCTGCACCCGAGCAACACGGACAGCGTACCACTGACGAGACTACGCCTGACGAACACAAACAAGGGACCGACGAGCATGTATCTCAGGACTCTAACATCATTACGAAGAGTAGTCCATTCATACACTTTTTGCAGGTGCCCAGTGACACGGCTGTGGAACAAACGCCACAACCGACGAGCACATACGTCACACGATACGGGAGAGTATCCCGGCCTCCGGTAAGATACCCCGCTCTGTAAATAAGATACCCCGCTTGTTGAAACGACTGCATTAAAAACCGTTGTCAAACTCTCTGCATCTCTGTGTACTCCGGCACGGTACCTACTTTTTATAAGCATACACACGTCAGACTTGTTCGATTGTGTGTGACCAAAGTGTGCGACATGTTCTGAGCCAATGTATCATCGGCAGGCCTGAACCTCGAGGGGGTGAAGCGCGAGGTGGCGTCCCACCGCTGAGACGCAGGTGCGGCGCTCGATTTTCGACGCCATCACCAGCGCAGACGTCAGCAGCGCCAGATGTCGCCAGCGCAGCCGTCACCAGGCGGACGTCACCGGAGCGGACGTCACCGACTGCAGCGCCGCAGACCGAGCAGCTGATGCCACTGCTGCAGCTGATCGCGGCCGATCGCGGTCGAAGCAGCAGTTTCGTCGCGTTGTTTTATAGTGCAAAGAATAAGAGACATTTTATTTAGGGGGGAGGTGTGTTAGGAAGTGTTAGTGGATCGTGTGCCCGTTGCCTCCCCTCGGCGCGCTGCTGGACGCGCCTCTGCGGGCCGCCTCCCTCTGAGCGCGCCGCTGCGACCGACGGCGCGGGGTCACGGCCGCAGCCGGGGGCGGCGGTCATTCGGAGCCGGGGAGCCGCCACGCGTGGGTGCTGCGGTGCTGCTGCTGCTGCCGCTACTGCTTGTGGAAGCTCCAATACACCTACCAAATGGAGACGCTGCCTTTGGCCTAACATTAGCATAGCCTTTGTTTGGGCATTTGTGTCACTGACCCGACATGGGGGGTGAGGCCAGCCAATGATCTAAGACGTTAAGATTGCGCTTCATCGCCATCCTCTCGGCACGGGAAACACGCTCGTTTTCGACGAAACTCTGACTCGAGCAGGGGCCGAACGGGGGGGGGGGGGGGTAATCGGCCACCATACGTTAGTAGGTATAAAAAGCAAATAGGGCGAGGTTTGTTTTTGGTCTAAGTTTATTCTTACATGTGTATCACTTGAGTTTATTTTTGGTTGCAAAAAGTTACCTTTTTGAGCGCCATCATGCGACGTTCCTCCTGTCCTTCTCTCTCTGACTAATCATCATGCTATGACATTTTGCCATATTCTTAGGTATGCAGGGTAAATGAGCGTGATGAATATATTTCATGTAAAACCAAGTTTCGGTGCAATCACACTGTCATGTCATTGATGAATGAGCCGAACGCCATTGTGTCCTCCCTAGGAGGTCTGCGGCGCCACGGGGATGGCGTCGCCGCGCGGCTGGAAGCCCTTCTCGTCGGCCACCCAGTCGATGGTGACCTGCTGACCCTCGGGCGTGCGGAACGTGTAGCTGCCCTGCATGACGATGCCGGCCTGGTCGCCGATCTGGCGCTGCTGGCCGGCGCTGTCCACCAGGATCGGGTCGCTCGTCTCGAAGTTGTACTGGAACGAGCCGTCCTCGTTCTGCTGGCTCTCGTAGCGCAGCAGTTCGGCACCGTCCCCCTGAGGCCGGGCCGCCGCCGCCACCAGCACAGCGAAAAATACCACCTGCAGGGGGAAGAAAATGACTTCAGTGTTATCCTTTCTATGATCTACAAATATCCCTCCAATAAATCAGAAACGCTGTACGTAGGATAATTTTCATTCATGTCGTTGAGATTTTGAGCTTCGCACTAGTTTTCTCCTTCAAAAAGTGAACGATATCGTCACTTGCACAACGAATCCAGTTACACATAGGTATCCGGCAAGAACTTCGACTGGGCGATCATGTAGCTTATTGAAAAGGAAACAATCAAGAAAGGTCCTTTTTACTCATATACGAGGAAAGCCTAGGGGAACCTCGTAGGGAAACCTAGACCAAATTTAGCCGAAAAATATGGCATGTTACATCGGAAACCTACGCAACAAGGCAAATATGCCGCCGTGAAATTTGCTCAACTCGAGCACAGGTCAAGACAAAGTCCGGTCAAAGGCAAATGGTTAACTTACAGCATTTGTGGCTTCCAAGTACGGACAGCAAACAGCTGTTAGCGGAATTCATGCAGAACTTGTATGAATGCGTTGGTGGGTAGAAGGCACAATCCCAAGAAGGCACAATCCTACGATAAACGATTGCCCTGAACGTTTCTGATTCACGAGGCAGACAAACGGTTGAAGACTTCGGATACTCACCAGCTTCATGACTGTGCTGCTGTATGTCCACGGATAGGCACACTGATCTCCATCCCTTCTCTGCCGGGCTTTTATATGTGTCCCATGAGGCTGCAGCGTAATCTTTCGACACATCGCTCATAGATAAATCTGCGAATAATACGATCACCCATTGACCAAGTTCGGGTCAGCCACTGGTTCTTGCTACAGGGGAGATTGACATGCAGGCTATCGTTCCAGCCATAAATATCGGTTGGCTTCAGTTGATCGACATGACATTCAGCGACCGGCAGCGGGCGCAGAGCTCGGGACGCCGGCGAGCGCGACTGAATGGGACATGCAATGGGAGCCATCCGGTGACGAAATGATGACCTGTTTGTGCCTCATCTGCATAGATCAGGAGAGGATGTCCGATATGAGCCGCGTCCACCCAGGTTTACTGAGATGTTTTGCGTTGCATACAGTATTCACTTTTTTGTTTACAACTGGTCCTCGTGAGGCGATGGCTCGATCGTAACTTGGGGGATCGTTTTTACGTCCCTCTAGCTCGACTCCCGGGCTTCGTAGCGTCAAGCGCCAAGCAATGCCTGCAATGTCGTAAGAAATTGTAAAGTACTTTTTGTAAGTACATCTAAATATCATTAGTTTTCATTGAAGGCTCAGGTCACCAGAGGTTATAGTGGTATAGCTGCAGCATGGCTGAAAGCCCTCAATAAGCAGCTGTTTATAAAATGGCTGTGTGTTCCTAGTCTACGCCCTCGATCAACGGTTTGACCAAGTATGGATTATAATTGTCGGGAAGGACGTGTTTGTTGATTTTTTTTAACGAATGTGACGACACAATGTTTATAAATACATATTACCTTTACCAGCGTTTTGTTCCTCTTGTCGAGATGCGTTGGATTACCTTTACTTAGACGTACAAAGGGCATCTGGAGAACTTTACCAAAGAACTGACATCATTTCTCTTGGCTTGTTCATATAACTGTTAAAACCAGTAAAACGCCTTTTGGGCGAAGGACGAGCGAGCGAGAGAGTGAGCCCTGCACGTGCAGAAGGGCGAAAGGGTACTTCCAACGGGCTTGTGCAAAGCACCCTTCTAACTGGTCGCTAGCGGTGTACCGAATTTGAACGCAATCGGCCCAGCCGTTCCTGAGATCTGGAAGCGGCATTCTGCACGTGCGCACGTGCAAACGGGGTCCAAAATGACTTTTGCACGGCACCCTACTAACCGGTCCCCAACCGTGTACCAAATTTGAGCGCAATCGGCCCAGCCGTTCTCGAGATCTGGAAACGCCCCCTGCACGTGCGCACGTGCAGTAGCACCCTAACCGCAACACATGGGAATGCATTGACTGGTGGTTGCCTACCTGTGTGCCAAGTTTCAGCGAAATCGTCCCAGTAATTACCGAGTTACTGAAATGGGAACAAATTTGGCACCTCTTATTGTTGTATTTGGCACGTGCAGTGGGGGTCACTCACATAGATGAAGAGTATCCGACCTTTGGTAGAAGGGATGCAGCTACCCTACAAAAATTACCGCAAGTCAATCGCCCAAGCGGCTGCTGATATATGAGCCTCTCAAAATCACTACTTTTGCAAAACAGCTTGAACACCCTTGACTTTTCACGTGGCACGTGCCACGACGGTCACTGAGATGTATCAAAAGTAGTCAATTACGGGGTAGAAGGGATGGGGCTACCCAACAAAAAAGACCGCAGGCCAATCGGTCCAGCGGTTGCTGAGATATAAGCCTCTCAAAAGCGTTACAGGCCGGGCCGGGCCGGGCCGCTCACATTGATATTTTTCCGTTATATTGAAAAGACTCACTTCGCTCGCTGCGCTCGCTCGCTCGTAATGACGCCTAATGTGGACTGTCCTCCTGGACTGAATTATGCATACTGCCAGCTAAACAAAGGTTGAAGCGAATACACGTTTATTTGGACAAACAGATAAAACATTATTCACTGATCATATCACAAAGGTACAGATGACTGGGATGACACGTCACTGACATGCAGATGGACATGCAGAGTGACACACAGTGACACACGGGTAGGTCGTTGTCGGCGGCGGGGGACGTCTAGGCGGCGTTGGGGCTGACGGGCAGGTGGTCGCCCTCGGCGCGGAAGCCGTTCTCGTCGGCCGTCCAGGTGACCGTGTAGGTGACGCCGTCGTCGCCGACGAAGCTGTACGAGCCGCGCATCACGGTGCCGACCTCCTCGCCGATCTGTTTCGACTCTCCGCTGACCTCGGCCGCGGTGCCGTCGCTGGTCTCGTAGGCGTACTGGAACGAGCCGTCGTCGTTCTGGGTGTTGTCCATGCGGACGATGGCCACCTCGGGCTGACTGTCCTGGGGACGGGCGGCGGCCACGGCCAGCAGGGCGGCGAACACGATCTGGGGGGCACGCGGGGGGACGTCAGAACACAGTCCGCATACACCTCGACGGCATTGTTTACCGGCTAAGAAGTAGACAGTGTAAAAGCACTTTGCTTATTTTCAGCACAATTCTTTTTTATTCGGGAAGAAGTAAACATATACCTAACTAATATAGCCTGAACTTGCAAGGATTATTTTTTTAAATATGGACGATTGCATTAGGTACTGATTCTGGTTAGTCGCACCTTGCGTTATGTCATGGTAGCATTGTGTTGGATTCAGTAGGCACCTAAAGGAAAATAATTACTGAATGGAGTAGCTAGAATTTGATGGAGCGAGATCATCAGAACAAGTAGAAGTACCTAACTTTAAAAATGAGAGGTTGACATTCGTAGAAACATGCTAACCTTTTCAACTTAGCAATGGTTTTTTTTAATCTTAGATTTTCTAACTTCAACTCAAATAGCCGAAAACAAATGCGGGAAATATTTACACATTGTTACCGAATAATATAGTCATGATAACCTGCCGCAGCTATTCGTATTACTATACACAACACACGTAATCTATCAGTAATATTTCAATAAGTGGTAAATCAATTCATGATCTCATGTTGTGTTCTTTCATTTCTCATTTGAGTTTTTGCACTTGATGAGTGCATTAACCCTCGCCCGCACATGCCATTTTCCCATCCTAGAACGCACATGGGGGGGGGGGGTGGTTGCCACCCCCCGCGCCATTTCGTTCCTGTTGGAGATAGAGCTTAGCAGTAAAGACCAAAAAGATTCTTTGGGAAGAGACGAATCCAATGATACCCAGTTTTACCTTCTCAGGTAAGTCATTGACCTTCCAGGTCAGGTCAAACTAAAAAATGTTGCTGTTTTGGGTCACCGTTGGATATCAAGTGCGCTGCTTATCAAATACCGATGACGATGCTGTTTTCTGGTGCCAAGCCAGCTAGAACCTCTTTGTCACACTATCCGACCAGAATTTTGCTGCTGAGGTCATTTCAGGTCAAGTTAGGTCAAGGTCAATTATATGTGTTTGTATGTCTGTGTGTGTCTGTGTGTAAACTAATGTGTGCACCGATTGTTTTTGGGTCCATATCACATAAAATCATGATCTGAGAAGCTTTTACCAAAAATGCAGTCAAAAAAAAACTTCACAAAAAGTAAATTCAGCTTGCCTAAAACGCAATTATCTTAGATGACCTAGGTTGACCTTGACCCTGACCTTGACCCCTGTACATCGTCGAACAACATGTTCCATGATAGGTGGGAGGTAAGACTGGCAAAAAAGGCCGAAATCAGGGTGTCAAAAGCTCACAAGGCCCATGGCAAACGCAAGATGTTGAGAATTGGCCATTTGGGTCATGACATGACCTGAAAAACAAGGTCATATCTCCGAAACCAAAAATCACAGAAACTTGAAATTTTCAGTGGACATCAAGAAAGGATAGACGAGCAGCTATACGAAAAATCAGCCCTCTAGCTTTAAAAATGTTGAGTGCAGAGCAGAAAGACTGCCTGGGGGGGTGGCAACCACCCCCCCCCCCCCCATGTGCGGGCGAGGGTTAAATTCGTCCCAATATAAGATGGTGATCAAAATCGTTAGAAGAAGAAAATTAGCAAACGTTTGCATCAAGACATTACAACTTCCTGGAACCCCTGCCTCTATCCGAAATTGAGAACCACGAGCACTGAATTCACTTTGTATACCACAATCCACAGAAAGCAGTCCTCACTCACCAGCTTCATGGCGAGAAGTGGATGCACGGACGTTTGGCGTCGAGTGATGTCCGCACCTACCCCGGCCGCAGTTTTATACATTTGGCCGTGAGTCGGCACATTTGAATTGATGATGTGGGCTCTTCACCTATGATTGGCCCCAAGACCGAGTATGGCCCGGGGCGGCAGATGGTGCCGGCGAACGAGCAAAGGTCAAACACTGCCAGCGAGCAGAATACAAACAGGGAAACAGTGCCGAAGATCGCTCTACAAGTCTACAGTCCTGCACGATCACATACTTCATAATAAGTGCAGACAACTGATCACAAAAGTATTGTCGTATCTATGATATAGTGATCGATATTGACTTTGGATGGTAAGAGAAGCGATGCTCACCGCAGCACAACTTCACACCTTTCTCCTTTTTGGTCGACCGATTTGGTTTTCTGCATTTAACAAGACATGTTGGCGAATTTCAAACCTTGGAATCAACCGTGCAGTGCTATTTTTATTGTTTGTCGTCAAATGACATTGTTTGTGTTACCAAGGGTCGCTGCTTCCAAGATATGTAAATGGCCATTTCCACAGTACCTAACTTCATTTTCATGATGAACTTCGACAACTTTCAATATCCATGACAGACTTCAGCGAGACCACTAGTTACCTGAGCAAAAGATGACTAGAATAGTTTCGAATCAATTTTGGAAGTTAGCTAGCGTGTATTCTACCTGCTTCCAAGCCGATTAGTTTTCAAGTGAGTCGGAGTCACTGACTGCCATCTCATCCCACCTTGAAGGTACTGGCTCAGGCGCCAACAATGCGAGGTTCATGGTTCACATGTGCCAATTAGTCTTATTTCATGTTCTTCTCAAATAAATTGAAAACAGCGCATAAACAGTGCCCAACAGCTACTTTTTACAGCTGGCATTCCTTTCAGCCGACGCAGCCAGAGACACAGCAGCAGCGGCGCACCTTAGTAACGGGGAGTGTTTCAGCCCGAAAAAAAAAAACGTTTTTACCATTTTGGTAGCATCCGCCGCCGCCGGCAGGATTTCAAGGTCAGTCCATGGTCGTCATCCCCTCCTTCCAAGCTTGGCGAACTCTGAAATTCTCGCGCTAACAAGCCCACAAGAATATGCAGGTATTTTCGAAGGACCACGGAGGCATTATTAGGATCGAAGGACGCAGTGGGCGCCCGGAACCACCTTCTGATGGATGACAGTGATTTGCTTAGTGCGCTTCCATTTCTTCTCGGAATCAATAACTAAGGATGGAGTTTGGGGTGCATATTTCGAAGCTAAATTTAGCCTTTTTGATTGGTTATATGAATCGTGTTATGCCAGTAAAAAAGGAACATGATGTACGTTAAGGCATATAAGGATGAAAACATACGTTCTCATCAGTCCTTAGCCTATGCAGATGGAAATGTCAATCATCTTGGATATTTTAGCATTTGGGTTATGTCCATTACAAGAAATATAATATAAAAATGAATTTATCGGAAACAAAATTGTATTAGTTAAATATTGACAAAGACTGGTGAAGAAGACGAGCTTTCTCGAAATTCTTAGTCGATCTACAGATGGTAAAGGTGCGTTGTAAGATGATCCAGCCTCCATAAACAATAGACATTTCCCGGTTCCCGAGTAGCATCCCGGCTAACAGAAGCCATTAGTTTCTATAATGGGGACTTACGCAGTCGCCTTGACCCCCGCAGTTTGTTAAATTTAGAACACATGTTTTTTTACAATGCTAAAATAAAGAACCGTCTAAGTTCAAAGCCATTCATGCATATGTTACAGGCCGTATGAAAACTCAGTCCGTTTGCAAACGGCCTGGCCCGATTCAGGCCGTTTGCAAACGGCCTGGACAGCCCAGTCAGTATGCAAACGGACTGAAAAGTCAGGCCGTTTGAATACGGGCTGAAATTCCAGGCTGTATGCAAACCGCCTGAAATTTCAGGCCGTTTGCAAACCGTCTAGGCCGTATGACAACTTTCCAGACACCAGGCCGTTTGCAAACGGTCTAGGCATTTTGAAAACAATCTGGTCTGCATAAAGTTACAGCTGGACAATGTTGAGTTTGCTGAAGCACGACCGTTTCATGACATTACATGGCACCATGAAATCCTGAGGTGCATTCGGCATCCGGAAAAAATATTGTCACTCGGATATTCTCCGTCGGAAAATTATTGTTGAACGCCTATCTTCAGCATGTCTCGTTATCGCGATACCGTTCGTGATCCCCGATGATTCTCGCTAGTTCCGGAAAATGCTTCCTGATTTTCCCGATGATGAATGAAGGCCTGGTCAGGAAGAGATTAGCAGAACTGAGACCCGGCCCGTATAGCGTCCGGTCGACCCGGGCTTCCCCCGGACTTCAAAGTTTCGCCTTCCACCGCAATGGTCAAGTATTGCCGGCGTACATCCGCCACCGGCCAGCCGCCGGCGGTCGACCGGGCGCGGTGAGGACTCTAATGTGAACCAGTGGCGCGGGAACTTCTTCCAGACTGGGGGGGGGGGGGGGGCTGAACCATAATAGAGATCAACCTAGGGTACCCCCAATTCCCAAATCTAGTTTTCTCACCGGTTTTAGGCCACTTATTTTTCAAACCTTGGCCTTTTCAACAAAAAGAAACGAAAATATTTGCAAAAAAGTCAGGTATTCCGTCTCAACTGAGTGAAGAAACTGGCAACCTGGAATATAGGTTTTAATCTGCCAAATGAGTTGCCAAGCCAGTGAAAGAGGTGGATTTTTTTCACTTACATGCTTTCTTCCTTTATGACCCACAACCCCTAATTTGGAGAGGACAAGCTGCCCCAACGGTTCCTGACCTCATGAAAAGTTGAGGGGCACCGCCCCCACGGCCCCAGAGCTGTGGGAGCAAGCTTTCCCCACTGTCCCCTACCCCGTGCCTATGTATGAATCTATGAAATTATGTTGGTAGATTTCTGATTTCGATTCCTCCAGCTGGGGGGGGGGGGGCTCAAATACATTACGAGCCCCCCCCCCCCCAGCCGAAAAGTTGGAGGGGCTTAGCCCCCGCTAGCCCCTCCCCCACCCCGGTTCGCGCGCCACTGATGTGAACTCTGATATCCATTGCGCGCTCTGACGTTTTATGTCGCAAAATAATCGGTGAGTCTTGTAGTGATACGTTTCACCAGACCTCACCAGTAGTGCCTTCACCAGGCTCCATCAACTGGATGGCCGTACACAGGCGGACCGTGAACTTGTATAATTACGAGCGAGCGAGCGCAGCGAGCGAAGCGAAGTCTTTTCAATATAACGGAAAAATCTCAGTATGAGCGGCCCGGCCCGGCCCGGCCCGGCCCGGCCTGTAACGCTTTTGAGAGGCTTATATCTCAGCAACCGCTGGACCGATTGGCCTGCGGTCTTTTTTGTTGGGTAGCCCCATCCCTTCTACCCCGTAATTGACTACTTTTGATTCATCTCAGTGACCGTCGTGGCACGTGCCACGTGAAAAGTCAAGGGTGTCCAAGCTGTTTTGTAAAAGTAGTGATTTTGAGAGGCTCATATCTCAGCAGCCGCTCGGGCGATTGTCTTGCGGTAATTTTTGTAGGGTAGCTGCATCCCTTCTACCAAAAATAAGATACTCTCGAATCTCGATGCATGTGGGTCACCCCCAGTGCAAGTGCAAAATACAACAATAAGAGGTGTCAAATTTGTTCCCATTTTAATAACTCGGTAATTACTGGGGCGATTTCGCTGAAACTTGGCACACAGGTAGGCACTCACCAGGCAATGCATTCCCATCTGTTGCGGCTTGGGTGCTACTGCACGTGCGCACGTGCAGGGGGCGTTTCCAGATCTCGAAAACGGCTGGGCCGATTGCCCTCAAATTTGGTACACGGTTGGGGACCAGTTAGTAGGGTGCCGTGTAAAAGTCACTTTGGACCCCGTTTGCACGTGCGCACGTGCAGAATGTCGCTTTTTAGATCTCAGAAACGGCTGGGCCAATTGCGTTCAAATTTGGCACACCGCTAGCAACAGGTTAGAAGAGTGCTTTGCACAAGCCCGTTGGAAGTACCTTTCGCCCTTCCGCACGTGCAGGGCTCACTATCTCGCTCGCTCGTTCTTCGCCTAAGGCGTTTTACTGGTAAGTAATATTGTCGAAAAACGGACGGGCCGAGCATCAGCACAGTAAAAAAATGTTCGACGTATGTAGACGAGTCATTCGGCATGGAATGCGCAAGCATTCACATGGATGCAACCTGATCATCGACCAACCTGGATCCATTAAGTTCAATCTTCAGAGGCTGTTGTACTTCGCCAGACCGTTTGAAAACTGACTAGGCCGTTTTCAAACTGTCTAGGCCGTTTCAAACTGCCTAGGCCGTTTTCATACGGCCTGATATTTCAGGCGGTTTGCAAACGGCCGGCTTTTTCAGGCCGTTTTCAAACGGCCTGACTGGGCCAGGCCGTTTACAAACGGACTGGGTTTTCATACGGTCTGTAACACATACATAATTTTACATGTATGGCCACCTCTTCCATTTCAGAATACACAACCACAAAGTATTCAAACCGCAGAATGTGGCAGCTGACCACTTTCGTTTTTTTTCTGATGAGGAGCTGCGGCGCGGCTGTCACGTTGCGGGGCTCCGCGTCACTTCTGCCGCAGGGAGCGGGTCCCGGATCAGCCTGTCTGGCTCTGTGCCAGGACGGATCTAACCGAGCGAGAGGAGGGGCGGTTCCAGGAACCATGTGGACCCTCACATCACCTTCTGACTTTATGCAGTGTATTTCCCATTTATTGAATGTCGTTTCGAGTAGCGAAGTTGCTGCCGTTTACATGCAAAGCGACTGACGGTTAACCCGCGGCCTGCTGGGGGGTTTGAACACCCCTTCTTGTGGTTTTTCGCGAATATCTCAAAAACGGCGGCGCGGAGCGCCGCCGTTTTTGGTACACCTTATCATACATCAATTCTACACATGTTGTGAAAATTTCAGACCAAGGTCATTCAAGGTCAGGTCACCAGGTCACTTGAAGTGACCTCACCTCATAAAAAGTTTTAATGTCTGTCATAACTACACCGAGTGACCGACCGCTTTGAAACTTTCAGCAATTGCTGAGAGCAATAGCATGTACAAAATGTATTTCTCAGAATTTCGATATCGATGACCTAAGGTCAGGTCAATTTTGCGACCTCCCCATTATAAGTCAGTAGTATATAGG